GAATAAGATGTTAAGAAATCTTATTATGACCAGATTTTTTTACAATGCATTACAATACCAATACAGCCAAACACATTACAATTCAGACCAGGTTTCTTGTTTTGATAGTAAGCAATATCCACATCTATAGAAGTAAAAAGTACAATCCAATGGCAATTCTATATTTTAAAATGTAGGATCTCAAATGCACAAATATTCTAATTTCTCATCACAGACCGCCTTAAAGAACATTATATAAAACTGGTTTAAAGGTGCAATGTGGTGGGCACAAAGTTTCTCTACACTGAGTGGTGGAGAAATAGCATGGCCTTTATAGATCAGCCTTAAGTTTGATATTTGAAGTAATATAACCTTGTATTTGTTCTATGTTCTCACTATGATAATTCACTATTAATACTGGCATCTGTAATTGTTCAAGAAGAAAAAGGGTTTATACTCACCTGTGCCGCCGTATGTAACTCCAATCTTAGCTCTGTTTCAAGAGCAAAGATTGCCCAAAGAATCTTCACATTCAAAATTTCTTCCAGATACCTGCGCCCCCTACAAAGTGCTGTGGGTCCTTTTGCTGACTCTGACGTTACTGCCGTGTCCTGTAGTAGCACAGAGACTGTTGGAAGGAACCACAGTGCGATGCAGGGGACTCTCAGATTTTTTGAACATGAAGATTATTCAGGAACCTTTACCTCTTGAAAGGAAGGAATATCGGCCAGCAGACAAGGGAGTGTAAAACCTCTACCTTTGCAAGTCATGCTTTGCTACATATTTTATAATAATATTGTAATCTTTGTTATTTTGAAAATAATAAAAATTAATGAAAGAGAAAACTGTACCATTACCCCACAGGCACAGTCAGCTTAGGTCCAGTCAATATTGTTGATCTCATCCAATTTTTATTACTAGATTCTGTGTGTCACTTACATTTAGATCTCTGTAAGAGAAAATGATCAGATTGCACTGAGCGGAATTTAACAGTTTCAATTTAAAAAAAGTGGTAACTGTGGGTGAAAAACATACCTTTAGATCTTATTCACAACCAAACCTATTTCTAGAAATAATAATTGTGAAAGTAAAAGTACTGCAAAGGAAAAAATAGGTGTAGTGGTGTTTGTTCAGATGATTAATGTTAGTTTTCATCATTACAAACCTGAGCTGAATTCTAGGCGGATATAAAAGTCACAAATTAATGCATCTTTGTTATTAACAATACATCCTTAAATGGTTTTTATTGCAAGTACCTGAATTTGACCTGGAATGATACTCTTGCAGAACCTGAACCTGCAGTGCGAGAGGAAGAAGCTGGAGAATCAAGAGCCAACCAGTTAATGTGCTGACAAGGAGCATGCGGATGGGAGAAATCAGACTGCTTCTGTATATGAGCCATTGCCCAAATGCATTTACTTCTTCTGTACCCTAAGCCACATTTCAGCCATAAGATATCTTAGATTAGAACTTTGCTGCCAGCTGCTAGAAACCTTTGTTACTAAGAATACACAATCAAATTCCCTGATATGAACATTTATTGGGGGTGTTTACTGGGACTGGGTGTTTTTGCGCATTTGTACACACAGGTTCAGTGTGTTTTTTTTTTTTGCACGTTTATGTGCGTTTGGCACATTTTTAACTCGTGCACATGAAGAGCCGTGTTTTGACTGGCAGCTCATGAAACATTGCAGTCAATGGACGAGTGCACATACAAACACGAAAAAACGTGCAACATGCTTCTTCTGTGCGTTTCCTGGCATTTCCATTGAAGTCTATGGGGAAAAAACGAGCTGTAAACTGCCAGCAAAAAGCCTCATGTACATTTTTCTGCTTTTGGCACTTTGCTGCTCAGGTGTGAACAGGGGCCATTTAAATTATGGGATTTCTTGTACTGTTTTGAAGCGCATTTTCCACTGCTTAAAAATGCCTAGGTGTGAACCAGGCCTAAAATGGCAGCTTTTGAATAGGGACAAAAGTGAGCTCCAGCATGGAACTTTAAAATACTACAGATGGGGGAGTTTTACCAGCTCTTCTCCGGTCTCTCAGTTCATCTGGAGGTGGTAGATGAGGATTGAGCTGTCATCCCTGCAGCACTGCTATTCCCGGTGTTAGCAGTCTCGCTCAATATGTAGCCAAGTATAAGTGCTTTACCTGCTACATTTATGTGAGTGATTTTTCTTACTTTATTCATTACTTTTCAAAAAAGTATTTTATTGAGCTAGATCTTCACGCCTCATTTCCCTTATTATCATTCAAAGAACAAAACCATCCCTCGTGCCTTTGAGGAGAGCTGCAATTGGATCTGGACTCAAAGAGGAAAAAACACTATTTTTTTCTACACCGTGCCTGTTAAAGACTAATTAAGCTCGGACCTGATAGATTTTTTCTGCTTCCTTTGCACATTAAATTGAAAAATAAAGATGCTGTCTATAATAACAAGCCTGGATGGTGACCTTTTTTCATCTGCTCTAGTTTTCAGAAATCTATTCTCCCCAAAATGAGTTACTCTATTTCCATAAGCCTAATTGCATGAACGCGTGTTGTTGAATCATGTCATCGTGCATCTTTTCGTTAGTTCAGAGATTGGTACATTGGTGACCAATATGATGCCAGGAACTGAACAGGTAATCATCTGAAACAGCACACGCTAAAACACGTAAATCAAACTCTAAGAAGGGCACAATGGTAGAAGTTATCCACATGTATTATGCAATACAAGTTGCTAAAGCACAGTAATAAAACACACAAAAACATAAAATAATGCAAACAATATGCACAATATACAGTACATGGACAATCCTCCACATATACTGGAAGATGCTGACCAGCAGATGTAGCAAAAGTGGTTTAAATGCTCTGATATAACCCCCACAATAAAAGAAACACACAAAACACCACATTATAGATAATAGCTACCAAATTATATATCCACATCAAAACATCTCAGTAAATGGAAAGTGCAAACTATGCTCGGTCATGGCAGCATTTATGTACAGGCTTAATATAAAATACTTCATGTTCTTCAATACCACAAGCCAAGGTTTAAATGGCCTCTTCTTGGCCAGCAGTGTAAATAAGAAGCAAATTATTTACAACAATTTTCCTTTAATGCTTGATTGCTTTTAAAGTTGCAGGCTCCAGAGGTGTCATTCTTCACTACTGAGTCACTGACCTGGAAGGAGCATACTGCCAGGGAAGTCTTGTTCTGGATCAGTGACTTTCTAGGTAGTGATCTAGAATTAATCTGACTGCTGCAGAGTCTGCACCTTTAAAATGAACCAAAAAAAACACCCACAAAGCCCTCTCCCATTTTTCAGGTTTATTGCATACAGTTACAAAATCACAGAGAGTGGTTTAATTTTTGCAGTGAGACAGGAACATACCTGCTGTCTGTTAAAAGCCTTGAAATAGCGTGCAGGGCACATTTCCCCCAATTGCAGGAGGAGTAATATGTCAGCACATATTACATTTAATCTTGTAATGGAGGAAAAGCTGTGCTCCCTGCTGTAGTCCCACCAGTGGGTGAAACATTATTTACCTTATTCCAATACCACACCTAATGCAATACAGTAATGATGACCATATGTGAGCATATGCCTTATACTATGCCCACATAGGTTATGTGCTTATCCAAGCACAGCTGGCTGTATTCAGAATGTGTAATAGTTATGATATAAATGTTAATGATAAATCAAGTCAGTGGCAGTAAATTTCAAGAACTTAAAGTCGCAGGTTCCAGTAAAAGGAACACATGCAGGTCTCTGATTTTTCCCAACATCTGTAAGGAAACCCCCATGCTTGGCTAGCCCATGGTTATGCCAGTTTTCATATATAGGTAAAGCAGTTCACTTGGTACTCACATACAGTAAATACATTATAGCTATGAATGACCTCTGTGGTGATAAAATTGCACCAAATTATGTCAGTGCAAAGTACATAAAAAGTTAAAGGAGGTTACCTGGGGAAATAGAAACCCCATTTTGATTGGGACCCTATGTGTACTACAGATAGGTCTACACCTCCCATAACTATTGGTAGACTGAAAATATGTAGAATTTATTATGATCCGACGCTCCAGAAACTCAAAATCTGTAGTCCAGCAACCATCAGCATGCTGTGTGCAGACCATATGAGCTCACCTCAGCTCCACAATCAATTCACTCAAACAAACAGTCACTACCGGTGGTGTCACTCCCAATACATTTTATTGACACAACATGAGTACATGCGACAATCCCCACCTAGGCACTGCTCCTCTAATATGTTCCCCCTTAATAGTACAGCATTTTTGGTCTCAGCATTTATGGAGGGAAACACATTAGAGGAGAAGTGCCTAGGCAGGGACTGCAGCATGTACTCATGGTGTGTCAATAAAGTGTATTGGAAGTGACATTAGCCACCGGGCGTTCCCACGGCTGCTAGGCTACAGGTTGGGAGTTTCTGGGTGTTTCATCTGCAGTGAGACCATTTGTTTGAGTATATTGGTAGACTGAAGTTTGCTGAAATGCTGATCTCAAAGAGCTCCATTATATTTTAATGGTCATGCCGCAGTTATACATATCACCAACAGGTGACACTTCATGAATTGTATAGCTTTTCTGGTAACGCTTAACAGCTCCAAATGGGCTCATTCTTTCATGGGATAAACCTGGATGCTCACTCTTTTTTCGTAAAGATTTGTACAGATACAAATATCCATTGATATGGAATAGCAGACCTACAACAGAATGTGGCAACACTTCTAAACTAGCAACAGGCGTTTTGTCTACAAAATATTACATTTGATTAGGCTTATTTAATAAGGCAAATAGCAATTTTTAAAGTGCTGCATCCCATAACAACTAATGAAAATGTCTGTTTGATTGATATAATTTAATTACACTGATCTCCTAATTGGTTTCTTTGTACTACTGCACTTTGTATTGCCGTACCTTATTATAAAAGCCTGTATTTCTGTAAAATTCTTACACACTATTAAAAAATTTACTTTGTAGGTTGAATCACAAAAACAATGAAAAAAGTGATATAATAGGAAAAATAGGACATACAATTGTTTCTACTCCAATTGAAGCAATAGTCTTTGGTGTGGTGGGAGCCCATTCCATGTCTGGGCCCCCTATCAGAGCATGCTGTATGTGGAGGGACCCCTCATGTCAATGGCAAGAATTAAATGGGAGTTTGGATACACCCCCGTGGAGCTCCATTGAAGACTCCGTCCACTCTATGACATCACCGGTGGAGTGAGCCGCACATGTGGCCAGCTTGTAGATCTCACCTGGAGTTAGGATGTGGCTCCACATGTTAAAGTCAGAGATTTCACCCACAAAGGCTTGCGTAGCATCAAATCTTCCTCCCAACGTGTCCTAATCAACAGGAGGATTGGTTATATTGCTGGATAACGTTATTCTTTAGTATGTACATAACTGTGTAACAATGCCTAGATAATTGTCATAGTTATACTCTTCTGTGTGTTTTCTAATGGAAAGCATAGAAGTACACATTGGGGTTGATTTACTTAAAAAGTACAGATCAGGTGAAAATACATTTTGAAAGTGAACATGCTCCACTCCTTTAGTAAATTTAGGGTTATTTAAGTAAAAGTTATAACAAAAATAATTAACAATAGTGCACATATATCAACAAATAAAACAACAAACAATATAATACATACCTGAATAAGTAATAGAATACAAAAACTGATTGTAATCAATCAGATCTTACCTGTCTAATGTAGCTACTAACCAGACTATGTTATAGTTTATAACATCCTACTGCCCTTTGTATGATATTGCTTTGGTTATATATTGAGTAGAGTGAAACAGAAATCTTAAAACTATTAGTATGGCAGTGAGAGTATCTATCTATCTATCTATCTATCTATCTATCTATCTATCTATCTATCTATCTATCTATCTATCTATCTATCTATCTATCTATCTATCACTTCAAGGGTGCTCATAGGTGCTTGCACAATTTGATGTCCTTCAGCACACCCATTGTCTGGTAGGTCATCCATAAACAGGAGGAAGAGATGCTGCTAGTACCAGGGTGGAAATGTCCATATGGTGACCTAGACAGGCACCCAGGGCCTGGCTGCCGGGTAGAGCTATTACTTGTGCAGATGCCTCTAAGTTGAATGTTCCCATTACTTGAAAGGCCTATCTCTACCTGTAATGCCCACAAGACCTCAGACAAGAATGCAGACTGTGGTACTCTCCGTATATGAAAGTACCCTGGCAAGCTTCTGGACTGTGGCTTTAAAATGTGTGTAGACCTGTCTTTGGTCATCAATGCTGACATAATTCCAACACCAGATAGCCGCCAAGACAGCAGGAATTGAATCACTGTCTGATCAGCAGCCATTAAATAATTGTCTGATCTGTATAAAACAGGCAACTGTCATCTCATGTCTATGAGTTGGTTTACATATTTAAATTTAATATTCATACCTGTTCCTGTCCCAAGATAAAAACTCCACCAGGTTTAATTGGATGCCATGCTGCCAGGTTTTCTCCATTTCCTCGTCTCACACCATCCAGGTAAGACTCCCATACCCCATCTCTGGTTGACCAAGTGACACATACGTGATGCCACTTAGCGTCATTGATGGCCAGTGGTAATGTGGCAGCCTGTATATAAAATGTAAAAATGAAAGGATGGATATTATATGTTGTACACATGGATTTTCAAAAATATAGTACAAGAAGTAGGGTGCACATAAATACTTCTATAAACATATTTCTGCTGCATTATTTTTGTAAAGATGACCGCTCACCTTATACAAAAGATTCAAGCATTACTTACAACAGTTGCACTGTGTGCAGAGCTATTTAGTCATTATCACAAACAGGGTTTTATTAGAAGCACTTGGTAAACAATGTCTAAAGTTGATCACGCACTTTCATCCATATCAACAAGCCTCACAATGCATGTGTGCCACAGTGAACTTGCCTCTCATCACCCACCCATCTCAGTAAGGTTTCTATGGACACCCTAAAATGTAGTTCACCATTCAGATTGAATGAGTCCAACTCTGGGATAGTCTTTTTGCTTGCAGTGTCACAATTGCATATGACAGAAGGTATTTTTTTCAAGTGTTTAAATCTCTGTCTCCATCATATTGTGGAGAGTTTATCAAAACTACATAGAGCATTACCTTGTCATTAATAAGCAATTCCATTGGGTTGTTGCCCCATTCGATAAGCACCACCTCATTGGCTTGGCCGGGAACAGAGTATGAGAAGGGTGTGCCCACACCAGGAGATGAATTAGACTTTAGCCACAAGCAGATGGTGAATGCGAAAATCTCATGATGAAGAGTCCTTTTGACCTTGGCGTACATGTAATTTGTTCTGAGAGGGAAACTGACTCTAAAGTCATTGGACTTCTTCTCTACTTTATGTCCTGTTGGATGGGATAAGGAATGAGGAAGAACAGGTTTGTTATTGACACTTAAACAAATATCATCATTAAATACTAAAGTCAATAGAGCCATTGCTAACTCTTGTTCAGGTGTTTAAATATGAACTGCAGTTTAGTTAATATTTAAGCTCTTGTGGTGGATAATTGACTTTTCATAAATGGCACAGAACTGCATTGGCTCTTATCGTACAGAAGAGAAATGCAGAGTTTTTAGCTGTTGTTTCACAAAAATATCCAATATGGTATTGGAATTAAAGTCGAAGGATAACAAGGACAGTTAGAGGGTTATCTTTCTTTTACCTGTATGCCTTCAACTGAAAGTACTGAAATTATATGTATACTGTAGTGGTTTGTACAGATTCTCTTTATATGATTTCTATGATATTCTCTTTATGATTAGGTGTAGGACTAATAATTATTTTTTAGTCAGGTAAAAATAACATATTGCATATCAATATATTTAGACTTCTATCCAGCCAGCAATCAACACCATATGACATGTTTTCCAGTATCTTACTTTGCTTTTTGCACCTTCATTGTAAAACACCTGTTCACAGAGCTCATTAGTTCAAGCTGAAATGTATACATATGTGAATGATTCAGAAGAGTGAATCCTCCCTTTTTTGACAGCTTCAACTGAGGCTTCAGTGACAGACATCATGTCTGAAAAGGAAATACTGTTCTGGTATTTCTTTGTCATGCATTACATTTCAGCTCATATGTAAAGTATATAGGTTGTTAAACATCAGTTTAACAAACTATAAAAGTTGAATAAATATATAAAATAAAATTGACCCAAAACCATTATATTTTCCTAAAATTATATTTAAAAGGAGATTTATGAGGTGAGTGATTTCCACTCATCCTCATAGTTAGAGCCGACCTGTGACAAAGAAGCTGTCACAGGTCGGCTCTATCGATCGGGAAGTGAGCAGAAACATACACCGATCTGCTCACTTCCCGATCGTCTCCCTGCAGTGAGCGGTGACTGTCGGTCACCACTCCCCGCAGGGATTCCCCCTCCCCTCTCCGATCCTCCAGCGTTGAGTGGAGGAACGAGGGAGGGGGCGGGCACAGCTGGCTCTGCCTCTAGATAGGCAGAGCCAGCTGTCACTCATGCAGCTGGGTGGATCTGGACATTTCTGTCAGGATCCGTCCAGGCTGCGGTGCTCACAGTATATAGCCCACGATACACTGAGCTTTGGGTCATGGGAGGACACTAATATATGCCCTCCCACAGGGGCTGACTGGCAACTTTTAGCCCAGGGGGCAAGTACAACCCAGAGGCCCATGGTGCGGCAACTTGACCCCCCTCCCGCTTTGCCTCTTCCCCCACCCGTCTGCCACTTTTGCCATCCATGTAACAGTAGTGTGAATGTATTTATCGGTTTAGGAAATGTAAAGCACACTGGTAGTGGAGGGATGCCTTGTCAGGGCTGTGCGCGTGCATGACTGCTGCGACCCTGGTAGTTCTGCCACTAACTCAGAAATACATTGTACAGCATTGCAGAATGGCATTGGCTATAGAAAACTACAATTCCCAGCAATACATTACACAACAATGCAGAATACCATCAGCTATAGCGGACTATAAATCCCAGCAATAATGACTACCATCAGCTATAGAGGACTACAAATCCCAGCAATACCATTATACAGCAATGCAGAACAGCATCAGCTATAG